GCCATAAACATGAACAGGAGGGCTGCTGTTATTGGGTCGAGGCTGTTGATACCCTTAACCCTTGTACAAATATACCGATTTAAATAATAATTCCATTGACTAGGGATAGGGAAAGTAATACTCTCTTAGCAGCTCCAATTTAAATACTTTATGCAGTAAAAAACGAAGATTTACCTCACCTATCGCTTCAAGTTTTATTAGCTCCAGTGAAAATCATAGCTCCCCTTTAAAGGGTATAATAAATCCCCCAAATATAAGGATTTGCTCAAATTCAATATTGGATTACTCGCACCGAATGAATAGCCAATATGGGTGTATGTATTCGATTCGGCCACAAGCGAGGAGCATTTCCGGAACACTGCAGCATGTCAGCATGTCTAATTGCCCGTTGCCTCACCCTGTGCGGCTCTGAGCTGTGTGTGTGTGCTTCCCCTGGAAAATCAAAACAAAATTTAATCATGTTAATATAATTACTAAAAATTAAGCCATAATCAACACACGCACGCAGCAGGAGCAGGGCCAGCAGCAGGGCCAGGAACAGGGCCAGGGACCAGGGCACATGGCAAACACCTGCCAGCAAAAGGCAAACAACAAATGGCAGAGGACTCCTCGGCTTCCCTTCGCCAGAACAGAACATAACACCAAAACGACCCAAATTATTTTTAATTCCCCACAGGATAAGGCAGCAGTCGAGCAACCGGAGGCGGCCGGAGGATAAGGCCTCCTTTGGAGGCCTCTGAGCGTCTGCTTCCACTGCAATTTATCCTAAGCGACCGGCGGAGTCGCGTGCTGCGAATATTAACGAAATGATTATGGAATTCATAATTACACAGGAGCACAGCTGTAGGTATGTGTCGGTCCCATTGTGTATTGTAAAATGCGTCAACACATTTGCTCAGCCCGCCCGCTCGATCCCCGAAGAGCGGAGCTCGTCAGACAACCTCTCAGAGGCAGGAATGCCGGAATAGAGGGAGCTCGTTTGCCGTTGGCCCACATGGTGCATACGCAATTTCCAATGCTTTGCCAACTCAAATATTTGACGCATACAGTGCGTGATTAAATTAAATGCGAAGCCAGGACGAAGCCAGCCCATGTGCCAGGCCGTGTGCCGTGTGACACAACTAATTAAAAACGCCCGAACAATGGCGACGTGACAGGGACCGACCGTGAAAGGAATTTCTCTGCGCCCCAAAATTCAATTGGCACTCGAGGTCGATGACCCATTGAACTGCTCTGCCAACTTTGTGTGTAATGGACTTGCCGCCGTCGCCGCCCAGAGCCACAGAGCCACCCAGAGCCGAGCCGCATAATGTGATTATTGTCCCTGGTACATATGTACCATTCGGTTGGGATAATTCAATAAATTGCAATTCCATGCTGCTAACTCGCCCCGTGGGGATTTGCCTGCCAAATCAAATGCACTTAACTAAACTAAATGTTGCCACTCAGCCGCAAACATGCACACACACACACATGCGGAGAGAAATGCGCCCCAAAGTAGGCAACGATATGCTGGCAGCATAAATTTCATTTCGTGTGGAAAAAGGGAAAACTGCTAAAAGGGACTCGACGCGACTCCCATGCCGAGATCTGCCTGCCTCAAAACGCTGCTCCAAAATAAGCTGAAACTGAATTTGAAACTTTTTTAAGTTAATTGAAATTTGGTCCAAGGCCCCGAGTGGCTGCGAACTACAGCTATACCTTGGAAACAGATGCCGGAGCACGATGTGGCAGAGCACTCTCTCGCCGTGGCTCCCCTTTGCACCCAGCCCTAAGGGGTATTACCCAAAAAAAAAGGTTTGAATTTTAGTTTTCGTTTGATCAGAACCGGGATTGCCTCTGCCCATTCCGGGCGGATATTTATGCCCATGCGTAGGCCTCGAAAGGCAAGACTTGTTGGGACTTGTTGAATGGCCCACGAATATGTTTTGGCCATTGCCAACGGACTTCTCCCACCCACCGGCCCCCACTGGTTTTCGTTTTGGCATCCGCCTCGTACCTCGTGCCACAGAAGCGCCAAACAGTTTAGTCAGTGCCGGGCAATGTGCTTAAGTCTCATTTATTTTTCATGACTTGGCCTATAAAAATTGTAATTTCATTACCACCGACAGGCGGTTGCACAGAAGGTGAGAGCGGTTGTCCGTGTGGTGGTCCGTGTGGTGGTCCGTGTGGTGGTCCGTGTGGTGGTGGTGGGTTTAGTGGGTGGGTTAGTGGCAGCTAGAGGGGAGGGGGCTGGAGCACAGGCTCTTGAGCAAAAGTGGCAAGTGCAAAAATTGAAACACACTTGAAAAATGGAAGGTGGCCGGAAACACAACCACAAGCACAACACAACACCCGAAAGGTGTCTACTCCCACTGCTCCTGCAATATTCCTTCCCCTGCCCACTTTCCCATCTCTGTCTGCCTGGCTGTTACCTTTTTTTTATGAATTTTTAAAAATGTTGCTGTTTTGGCGGCTGGCGGCTGGCGTCTGCCGGCGCTGATTTCGCAGTCATGGGCAGTCATGGCCGTGCGGTCGTCGTAGGACCCAAATGCCCGGCCACTTGTTAGCTATTTTACGTTCCCACAAAGCCGCTCTCTCTCACTCTCTCTGTATCTATTCGTCCGTCAGTCCGTGTGGGTTGTGGAAGAGTGTGGCCAAGGTACTTAACTTAAATGGCCATATACACTCCTCCACTTGCCCTGAACCTGGCTCGTCTAAGGCTTTGGGTCTGGTCTGGTCTGGTATTCTTGGCCAGTCGACATCAATTTAAATTGAATTTTCACTTACCTGTGGGCACTGGTCTAAGGCTGAGGCTCAGGCTGAGCATGAAGATGAGGGTCGAGCGGCTTGGGCTTGTGCTTGTGGCTTTTGAGTTTCTTTGGAGCGCTTTTTGGTATGCAGCCCAGACGCTCGACAATTTATGTCTTGAATTAGTCTAATGTAAAATTTAAAACGAAACTTTTTTCTTCTGGGTGGGCACTCAATTCAACCGCATGCCCAAAATGCCACGGGGTTAGAGTGCGGAAGGGCAATCTTAATTGATTAGGCCCGACATTTAATTAGCAGCGAATATTTTTTGGTTCCGCTGCGGCTTGGCTTTTGCGCACATTCATCATGCTTTGGTGGGTTCCGGCCCGGTTCTGGTCCTCCCCCATGTCCTACTGGTGTTGGTCTTGGTCTTGGTCGTGGCCCTATGTCCGCGCTTCAATGTCACCAATTATGCTAATTAAAGGTGCCGTCAGCGGAGGTGGAAAGCCCAACAAAGCGCGCAAAATGTCTCTGTTTATGGCCCAGAGGGATGATGGGGTGCCTGACGGATGTGGTGTGGGTTTGGAGAGGGGTGGGTGGTTTATTTTTAAACGTTAAATTGGCAGGCTCGAAAGGGCTAAGGCTTATAAAAAGGGCTAACTAGCTGCTGGCTGGCTGGCTGAATGGCTGGCTGCCTCGGGGGGCGGGTCAATTGACAGCCGAAGCGTAATTATCAAAATATGTAGAAAATGGTAGGGCTGAGGTATAACCTTTTGGAATTGACAAATTAACATGAGAATGGTTAGCCAGTTGAGCAGCTATACAGTTGAACGTTTACGGCAGACAAAAGGGGGTTGGTATATCCACAAATGGCTGAATATCTTAAGCCTTCGGTCGGTAACGAACCTGTTGATGAATCAAATACAAAATTCAAATTTAAGGCAAGTCAGGACAATTCTCAGGGAACACTGGGCAGGGCAGGGCCGGGCTGGGCTGGGCGTGGCCTTGCACATTGTCTGACGCTGCTTAACGCTTGCTGCACTAATTCAATTAAATATTTGTCTTTGTAGTTTCCCAGTGGCACACACAGGCGGCGCACAGGCCCCCAAGAAGAGAAGAAAAGAAACCAAACGAAACGAAACGGAACGAAGAAATATGATGAGGGCAAAAATACCCAGACACCAGAGCCGAGCCCATACCACTCCCCATCCCTATCTCCAATACCAATCCCAATCCCAATCCCTGACAAAGCCAAAGACAAAGAGAAAGCCAAGCCAAGCCAAGGCTGCCGGCTAAGGATAAACAGCTCACCGTAGTGGCTCCCAATTCTCGACATTCCCGGCTAGGAGATGGTCGTTGCGGGAGCCCTAGCGCCCCAGCGCCATAATGCAAATATTGTCGAACGTGAAGCTTTCACTCAAAAAGTGAGAGCAGGCCGAACGCAGAAAGCACTGGCGAAGGAACTCGAGCTGGAGGCCCTGCAAGAAATGAATTTATTGCTTTTGGGAATTTTCCACTTGATGGCATTTAATGCGATTTAGTATTTAAATGAAGACGGGGGCTGGAGCTGGAACTGGAACTGAAGCTGAAGCTGGAATCTGAATCTGGGGCTGGGTAGTGGAGCTGCGACAACATTCGGGCGCATTAAATTAATCTCAGCCAAGGCAGCATCTCCTCCTGCTTATTAAGTATATGGAATTGATAATCCCCTGGCACTGCCCCTGCCACTGCCGCTACCACGGACTTTGCACCCATCTCTCTGCATGCGAATTTAGAATTAAAATGGATATGTTGCAGCTCCAGCTCCAATCGATGGCTTCTCGATTACGTCCAAGGGCTCGAAATAGTTTTCGCTGATTGAAAATTGAAACTAGACACGGTCACACACGAGTGCCAGCAGGAAGCACACCCACCCACCCCACCGTGCGCCCACTGGCCCACTGACTGAATGACTGACTGACTGACAGGGCAATCTAAAATGTTTTGCTCGCTGCACGTGAGTGCCCTCTACTGGGGCCATTCAGGGGATGAGTGCCGCACCAGCGGGAGTCGCATCAGCAGCCATGTGCTAGTGCTGCCCCTACACCATACATTTTTCACCGAAGAAGGCTGAGATAAAGCCTGGCTGGGTTTCGTAGCCAAAGTTCATCGCTGTAGCAGTGATCGTGTAGCTGCAGCATTACTCCGCAATTGCCAACGCTTTTAGTTTCATTTGTCCCAACGGGCGGCCATTTAAAGCTTTAAGGTAAATATTTAAACAGTTGTTCTTTTTGTGTGACTTTTTATTTATCGGATAGCGTATCGGCATGACAATATGTTAGTTGAATAAATAAATAAATAATTGGAGTGTCGCAAAAAGTGTAAAGTGCATAAATCTGGCTGCCGCGCAGACAGTACAGTACAGTATCCTAATTATATGTGTAATATGCTGATAAATATTCTGCTGTTTGGTTAACAAATAAGGCAACGCCGAGCCGAATGAATCGAGTCGATTGGCCGATGCATAATTCAATTAAAAGCGCCAGCATTAACGTTAACACTGCTCTCCACTCCATGCAAATAGAAGCCAAATAATTGACTTTTTGGCCGCCACTCGACAGGGGAGGGTGCCCACAAATAAATATTAAAATTAACTTAAACTAAATACCCGACACAGACACGAAACTGGAAACTGGAAACTATGCAAACTTTAGGGGGGTAAACAATGCAAACTGCAGATAATAATCGTAATAAAATTAACACTATAAATGTCTAAATTGATCCACCACCGGAGTACTATACAGAATAAATAATTGATATTGATATTTGTTTATGGAGCGTCTCCCAGGCGTCTCTCGCCTAGGCCTAGGGGGAGGGAGGGTCGAAAGTTTTTTAACTTTTCCCGGTAATTGTTTTGAAGAGAAAAAACTTTCAAGGAGTCCTACAACTAATCGCTTGCCTTAGAGTCTAGAGTATTAACATTTTGTTCGGTTATTAAGTTGTTCATAGAACTTACTTTTGATATATCATAGATATATGGTTCCTAAAATTACCGCAACACCTTCATGCTGCCCAGCAGTGGGTGTCTGCCGCTGCCGCTTGCTGCAGTGCCTCTGAGGAGAGCGTTGAGTGGTTCGACTTTTAACCAAGTTTCGCCTCAGGCTACTAGTGGTGGTCCCCCACTTCTGGCGCCTCCCCAGCTCCTGGCAGCAGCAAGCAGCACACAGCAGTGACACACACGTGGGTGCACATTGATTAACCACTGCATGAGCGGGCAGCATTTGAATAAAGATGTCGGCAGTAAGTCAAACATATGCCTGCAGCGATGGGCCAACAGCCACGCCCAGCCGCAGGGCAAGATTAGATTTACATTATGATGGATTGCGCTTAAAACCTCTGCCCTCCGACGAACTTACCTTCGCCATGCGGGGCAATGGTTTTAGCCTACGAGCTAGAGCCAAACTTAATCGATGCACGAACTTACCTTCGTGCGCTATAAAGATTGTGTATGTACAGGAACTAGAACCCGCTAGACCCACAAGGCTAGTCGGGCATAGTCGGAGCGTGGAATGGGGGGGGATACGGACAGGTGGGACAGGTGGCTATGCTAGCAAATAAATACCCTTAGAACTACGCGATCTGGATACGAGTGCCAGGCCTCCTGGCCTCCTCTCTACTGGTTGTAGGGATGGCAGAACTGGTAGACCAGGCGCTGCGACCGCTCCGTTTTCTTCATGATGCCCTTCTTGTAGTACTGCCGGATGGAGCGCGACAGCTTGTCGTAGTTCATGGCCGGGCGGTTCTTGCGGCGACCCCACAGCTTGGCCACCCGCACCGAGTCCTCGATCTTGAAGATGCCCTTGGTGCGATCTATCCAGCGTATGGCGGTGCCGTTCACCTGCGGTGATGCCAGCAGCTCCTTGAGGAACTGCCACAGATGGATGTGGGAGCCGCCGCCAGTGCGCCCGCCACTGGTGCGCTTCACTGGTGTGGAAGTCGCTGTGGCAGCTGCGGTCACTGCGGGAGTGGGCGTGGGTGTAGGGGCTACAGTAGCCTCCGCCTCCATTTCCTCATCGTCTGTTCATGGAAGGAGAAACGAAATTAATCTCAAGAGAACCACCGCAGGATTGGCAATCCCCCACGCACCTTCGCTGTCCCCATTGTAGTCGTCCAGGTTGAGCATCGGATAGCTAGCTGTCGGCCACAGATCGAGGCCTGGCTGCTGCTGCTGGATCTGGCTATTCGGCTGATCGGCATAGGCCATCTTCCATATCTCCAATTGGGCATGCAGTGTGCTCCCGCTCTGGAAGGAAAAGAAAGCCGAAAGTGATACATTTTGAATGGGCACACAGACAGACAGAGTAGCACTGAGAGGAGCGGAGCGGAGGGGAGCCTTAATCCCGGCTAGATCTCAATCTAGACGGCCTATCAATTGGAAATTCTTATGCTATCCAAGTGCATAAATAAATCTGCAGTCTCTGTCTGTGGAGGCAGCCTCCGCAGACAACAGACAAGCAAACAGCAGCAACAAAAGCTACAACCAACAACCAACAACCAGCAACCAGCAACAGCAGCAGCAGCAACAAAAACCACATGCGACTGCGACTGCGACAACGACTTACTTTCACCTTGCAATGTCGTTGCTGGTCGTTGGCTCAGTTCGAGTAGAGTGGAGTGCTGCTGTTGCTGCTGCTGCCAGTCCCCAGAGCCAGAGACGGAGAGCCATTGCCATAGTCATCTGAGCCGCTGCGCGATGGCTGGCTCGTAATCATCCATCCAAGTGCTGCAGTTTCACCAAACAACCTTCACACATTCTTTCACCTTTAAAGCCATGACCACGGTTACTAATTTTGTCGACTGCTTGGCATGGCATGGCATGGCTTGCTTTTGCTTTGCTTTGCTTTGCTTTGCTTTGCTCCTCTCCGATTTCATTTCGCTCGCGCTCACGCTCTCCCGATCACGTTCGTTGCCCAAGTCTTTTGTTTCGTTTTGCTGCTGCTGCAGCAACAGCACCATCATCGGCATATGGGCCTAAACGAATGTAATCATTGATATATTTTTGGCAAAAGTCTTCGGACTGGACTGAAGCTCTGGAGAGCGCATGTGGAGTAGTTTTTACTCGTGGATGCCGCAAGCCTTTGCCTAATTGTTGGCAACAGGTTTCGGGGTTTCGGTTTTGAGTTGTTTTTGAGTTTTGCGTTTTGCTTTCTGATTTCGGATTTTGGCTTATTCAAGTATGTAAGCAGCTCCCGTGGCCTGCGCCAATCGGCTCTGCTGTGGCCCGCTCTTCTGGCCTCGCCTGGCCTGGACTGGCCTGGACTGGCCTGGCCCGCTCCAAGAGCCATGACGTCAACGCCAGTTACGAAACTTGTTTCGTTTTAGTTTTCGTTTCGTTGTATTTTGTTTTGTTTGCGTTGTTTTTGGTTGTTGTTTTTCTCTCCTCATTCCATACCATTCCATTTCGATTCGTACGCGAAATTCGATTCAATGGCATTGATTGGGCTTTCTGCTTTCTGCTCTGGCTCTGACTCTGGGCCTTTTGCCTTTTGCTATTGGCATTTGCATTGTGTGATTGTTTTACATGGCATCGGCCATTGCTTTGTGCTGATCAGTTTTGTAATAGATACTCGACTGGTAGTTATTTTGGCACTCGCCTTGCCCAGTTAAGTCATACCCAACCCCTACGAATGGCTTGCACTCGGACACACCACAATGGATGGGTATAGTCTAGCATGACTTACCTGTGGCAGTCGACGCATGAATTCCTCTTCGCTGAGTAATGCCAATGAGGCACCGTCTTCGCAGAACTTTAGCTCCAAATTGGCGGCCGGCGGCAGCTTGAACTGTGCCAAGGTGGATCGCAGCCAGGCGTGCACTTGCGGGGGTGTCCATGCATTTGGATCTGCAAATAGTTAGCCCATGAAGAAATCTACACACCAAAGGAAGGAATCCAGACTCACCCTGCGATATTTGCAGCTCCATGCAGATGGCATCGGCCTCCCGCTTGGCATGCTCCAGCGCCAGCGAAATGACAGGCTCAAAGTCCCCGCGCACCTCGGCCAAGCCGCCGATGAAGGATTCCAGGGCCAGTGGCCGCAGGTTGTGCTTCTTCTGGAACGTCGTGTCCTCCAGGCACTCGCGCAACAGCTGATGGTCGGGCTTGGTGTCCGGCTGCAACTGCTGCTGCTGCTGCTGGAGAAGGGCGTTCAGATCGATGAAGCTCTCAATGTCCGAGTCCAGCGGCTCTGCCTTAATGCTCTCGCTGCAGGCGGAGCGTGGCGAGGGTGTCTCACAGTTGGACTCTGGCGGGGAGGGCGGCAGGATGTGCAGCTCCTGCTTGATGCTCGTTGCATCCAACGAGGGCGAGGGGCTGCTCAGGCAGTCGTAGCTGCCGTGGAACTTTCCGTAGCCCCCAAACGAGGCGAACTCCGACTGCAGGGGCGACGACTGGGGGGAGGGATACACGCTGTGTGGATAGGCCGGCGGAGGGGTCAACTGATGGCCGGAAGAGGCATAGGCCGGTGCCGGTTGCTGTTGTTGCTGTTGTCTGCTGTGTCTGCTGCTGGTTATCCGTGGGGCAGTCCCAGGCACACTCGATCTTAATCTGTGGCGCGTTATACTGGTAAACCGTGGTGGGTATGCCGGCGTCCTGCGGCAGCAGCGACAGATCAAAGTTATCCGCATAGGCGGAGTACTGGTCCGGCGGTGTCAGGGCCTGGAACGGTTGTGGCTTCAGATGGGGACTGTGCGACATCTGTAGGGGCGAGCAAAAAAAAAGAACAAAACCCGAATTAGTACTTGGATTAGGGACATCCACCGACTGCTAATCGGCGCCATCTTTGTCTCGATGAGAAGTGTTTCGAGTATCAGCAATTATCAACCGATCTGAGCTGCCAAATTGCGGCCACCTGTCTTAATTATCACGCCCATGAAAGTTAATGAATTTTTGTTACTTCTCCACTGGTTTTACGAGCGTGTTGCTGTATCTGTGGCTGCTCTCGCCTTTCTAATTCGTACTAGCACCAGCAGACGACCTACCTGGCGAACGCCAAACAAAGTATGGAAATTTTTGTGATTCTGATTCTGATTTGGTTCTCGATTGTTAATTGTTAATTGTCGTTTCTTAACCTTAAGGTTTCCAAAAGGCAGAAGGGAGTCTGCAAAGGCAATGGCGGCAATGGCGGCAATGGATGTGGATGTGAATGCGAAACCGACCAGACAACAGCAGGAGACGTACTAAGCTTCGAGTGGCATTGATTTTCTCATTTATCAAGCTGCGACTTGGCCTGTGACGCCACAGAAAGCCAACTGCTAAAAAACCCAAAGCCCCAGCTGTGGATGGGGGGCGTGTTCTGGCCAAAGGGGGACCACCTAGACTAGGGCAGGGCGTTGTGGGGGCAGCGACAGCGACAGCGGTGTTGTGTTTGTTTGTGTGTGATTTTTTTTATTTTTTATGAGCCAGCCCAAACAATGACTAGATCGAAATCAAAGCGTTCTCTTGTCGCTTGCTTCTCACAGAGATTTCTGTGTGTTTTACTACCTTCCCGTCCCCCCTCTCGTAGTCTGTTTTCTCTCCTCTCTTTCGCCCTATTTCCTCCCTCTCTTTCTCTTTTTGCTTCACCATAGTTTGCATGCCATTTACAGGGTGTACCCAAACATTGCGCAGTAATTGTGAGAAGGAATATTTTTCTGAAATATTATTCCCATATTTTGAAGAGGAGCAATCGAAAATCGAGCAAATATCATTCCTTCCGGCTTTTCGTTATATATTCTAATTTTATCGCGTAATCCTTACACACAAGTATATCCTCAGCTGCCAAAGGAATACTCGAAAAATAATTCGAAAAACATTAAATAAAAATAACAATTAAATAAATTAAATAAAATAATTCCATAACTTAGAATTATATTTAGATAATTCAAAAATTTGCAAAACTTATCTATTAAAATAATAATCAAAACAACTCATAAAGAAGTACGAATGTATTCATAATTATTTTGCTAGAGATCTTCGAGGGTATCACTGGTTTCGAACAATGCCTGCCTTTTCTTCTGGCTTGGTTTTCATATATTTGTTTGATATTCATTTGCACACAGCGTCACAAAAGAAGGCGATGCTAATATATGGCCCGAATGCGCTACCAATTTCTACCTCTGAGAAACTGGTTTTTCATTAAGCAACTCAATGCAGCAGCTATCTGCTCGTGTCTGGGGAGCTCGGTGTGTCACAATGCTGCAGGGGGGCGGAGACGCAGAAGAAGGTTGCCATTCGTAGGCAGTGGAGGCTGGTAGCTGGTGGCTGGTGGGGTGGACTTGGGGGGGGCATGCATACGCCATGGCTATGCGCTGTGTGCTTATTATTAATAAAACAACTCATACTGGATTTTCCGACAAGTACTTTCGATTGGAGGGTACAGCAGGGGCAGCCTGGTGGTGCTGAAGGGATGGCTGCCATTATTGCCTGTTCGACGTTCGCCATAATTCTAACTAGTCACGATGTTATTACAATTTCTATGTTTTAATTGTTAGACACCGGGGCGTATGAGCGATTTGAGTTCGCTTTTCTCGCCTGCCCGCTAATTGCCAGCGCAAACATTTTGATTTCGCTTGTGGACTCCCTGGCAGTACCCCTTGCGTAATCTCCATATTATTAGAGCAAGTATCTCAGCGCTGTACTTGGACTAGGGTACTTCACCGAAACTCCGATGCCAAAAGAGTCCCCCGAGGAAAACCGAGGACATACTCGTAGTACATGATTCAGCAGCAGCTGCTGGCTGCTTCTGCTGCTGCTGCAGCCGATGACTCAGTCGAAAAGCCATAAAATATGTGATTGCCTGGCAAAAACTGCATAATAAATTGAGAGGCCAGAGGCTCTCCCTCATCCATCGACCATTTATGGACCATTAAGAGCGACTCTGGCCACTAAAATGTCAACTAGTTATTACATCGCCCTGACTAGGCACAACATTTTCTATGCATTTTTTAATAAACTATTTTCACATTACATTTTATGACTATTAACAGTACCCCCCCTTCCCCCTCTCGACCCTACATTATCTCTATGGGTTGGCTGCCATCAATTCTGCCAGAAAAAAAAGGTCTTACAACTCAATTTGAGGCAGCGTTTGGCCATAAAGGAGGAGGACAGAAGGACAAGGAAAACCTCTCCAAATATGTGATGCCAAATAATGCCTATAAATATTCTCTCCACTCTCCACTCGAAGGCAATAAAAGTGAAACAGAAATTTGCATTTCGACCGGACATTTGATTTATTTGCAATATCTTTACATTTTACCCCTAGACCCAAGCCGAGACCAAAAGGCAATACACAGAAACTCAGACTGAGACTCAGACTGACACTGATACCCACATCCTCACAGCTGGGCAAATTAGATCACTCGGGTTATTCCACATGGATTCTATACACAATATATATGTTTGTGTACGCTATATGGATTTCCTGCTGACTTTGAACAAAAGATCTCAACGATCTGAATCATGTGGCGCACTCGTAAATTTTAATTAAATCTTATTATACGGAGAAATACAGAGAAATACTGAAAACAAGCTCAAAACAGTTCTGACGAGAATTGGAGTTTCCAATTGCCCGAAAGAGGAATGGGGCGAAACTCGGACAAAAGGCTTTTTTGTGGCTCGCTTAGCCAAACGATTTCGGCCGCTAATATTTCATTGGCATGTCGGACATCGGTCGGCGGCTGTCAATAAACGCCTTTGTCATGGGTGGACAGGGGCACAGAGGGTACAGGGGCGTTGCAATGGTCATTTAGGAATCATATATCGACATATTAATAGCAGCCGAAACACCACCACCACCCGCACCATTGAAACCGCCCAATCAACGTCACAAATTGGTGGGTTCTCTGAGCCAACGCGCGTTTGTTTTAGTGTTTGGCCATCGATCACGGTGGAGTTTCAGCCACTTGGCCACTTGGGCACTTGACTGTGCTGTGCTGTGGTGTGGTGTGGCGTGGTGTCAGTGCCGGGACAAGGGAACAATGGAGCCGGGGCCAGCAATTAGGATTTGGCCAAAACAATTGTCAGGTGTTTGGTTGTACGTAGTATTTTTAGAAAAACCACAATAGCCGGCAGTTCTATTTATAAAACCATTTACAAAAGGTACAGAACTTTCATACACTCGTAGGTGTCGCACTACCACAGAGAGTGTGGGTGTGGAATGTGAATGAGAATGTATTCCGTGTTCCTCTGGGCTTTCCACTTGCCCACCAACAACAGGATCCAACACTCATTCGATTCGATGAAAAGCACCCTTATCGCGAAAAGCAATCGGCTACCGCCTATCGACTGCTGACTAATGCTAAATATTCAAATCTGATGGACAGAAAAATTCATAGATATGTTAACCACAAAATTCATAAACGAGTGTGGCCCTGGCACGCAGTGGCACCAAAAGAATCGAATGCCAATTAAATTATAGCAATTTCGGGCATCCCAAAAATGCCATACAAACATCAGCATGAGTAATAAACACACACACTACCAAAAAAAAAAAAGGGAAAAGAAAACCGAAAAGACTGACGAAATAAAACAAAATAAATATTAAAATTCCAGCAGAAGATATAAATATATTTAAAGCAAAATAAACAAAAGAAAACGAATCAAATTTAAAGCCAAAGACATGTCCAAATCGAAATCCAAGACGAAGACGAAAGAAAGTAACAGGAAAATATTTCCGACTGTCAAAGGCAGTGGCTAGGATTTCAATTGGATTGAATTTCCCAAAATTGAAAAACCCTTACCCAAAAATTAGCAAAAATAATATTTAAGGAATGCGTTCTACAGGGTGAGGGAGGGGTGAGTAGGGGAGGGGTAGGCGGAGAGCTAAACGGAGAGCAAAAGTAATAAATTGAAAATAGCAGGCAACAAAAAGGCAAGAGAAAAACAAGTTTTATGTATGATTTTTGTGGCTGGGGCCAACGTCAAACGAAATTCATTAGAACAAGTCAAAGCCATTGCCAAGAATGTGGCATATTCTCGTGTGTTGTGTTGTGTGTTGTGTATTTGTGTGTGGCTTTTGCCTAATAATAAAATCAAGTTTACGTTTTAAGAACGACAAAAAGCATTATTAAAAGCGCCGATCAGATAGCAGTCAGCTTATGGTCGTGTGTGGTGTGCGGCGGCAGCAGCAGATAATAAATCGAACGAATTGGCCAACGCCTCGGGCGAGCCTCACGACCGATCTATATAGATATGGTCGGGTGTGGGGTGGGGTGGTGTATGGGGTTTGGTACACCATATAACATGATCTTACACGGGGCGCGGCCCAGGCCCATACACAAAGGAAACCTTGGAGCGGGACACAGAGCCAGAGTCGGAGTCAGAGACAAAAGGTTGCTTGCCCGCCCGCCTCCCCCCTTGGTGGAAGTGAAGGGTAAGATATAGATATAAATATACTATATAGTTGGTACGACTGTCCAGAACAGTTGCAATTACAGCTCTGGCAGCCTTGGGGCCTGACATGACCATGTTCTCATGCTGATGTTGATGTTGATGTTGAATTATGGCCAAGTGGTATTTAAATTAATTTATATGTATCTTTGAACCAAATAAAACAAACTATGCAAATGTGTCTCTCTGTGTCGCTCGGATACAGCCGCAGCCACAGCCACAGCTATTGCCACAGCTACAGCCTCAACCTCCTCAGGTGTTCAGGTCGTTCAGTATTTGGTTCTGTGTTCTGTGTTCTGGGGTCTCTGGTCTGGCGACAATTGTCAGGTAATCTGTTCTAATCGCATTATGGCAATGGAGCTCGCAAAAGCCACGAGAAGCGAAGACCAAACCCCTTCACTAGCCACCATCTACCGCTGCCGCTGCCGCTGCCTCTCTCCCTCCCTGCTTAGCACTTATATGTATAGCTCTATCCCTTTCCCTCTGTGGTGGTAGATGCGCAAGCGCAAATTGTTTGTTTAATGAATGTTCGCTTTATTCGCTGGCTTAGGGATTGGATATACTGAGGAGGAGTGTGGTGCGGTGAGGGGAATGGGGTTATGGCAATGTTGAAGTGCGCTGTCAACAGCATAAGCACACAGACACAGACACAGGCACAGACACAGATAGATACAAACAGAGATAGAGATACAGATACATATAGAGAAAGATACGAGCAGATACAGCCAGCAAATCCCCCAACAATATCCACGTACAATCTACCAAGTACGAGCGAGCACTTTGGATGCGTGGGTTAAGCTGTCAAAGAGACAAGACTTATTTCTGCTTATTTTTACAACGTTCGCCTCTGCCTTCTGTTTGTCTCTTTCATTATTCTCTGTATCTTTGTATCTGTGTATCTGTGTGTTTGGTGTTGGCTTTTAGTAGCTCTGTCTGTCCATCTGGTCTGTCGTTCTGCCTGTCGTGACGGCGCAATTCTGTTTGCAGTTCTTGCCGTTCTTCGGTTCGCTTCAACTATTTGCATTGCATTTAATTGCCGACATTTCATGCTAAATAAATTGCTGCTGCAAGGTTAATAAATATCTTGACACAACTGTGGTACAGTGGCACAGTGGGAATGGGTGCAACATTTCAATTATGCTAGATTCTTTTTTTCCCACCTCATTATACATACAGTGCATAGGATAGTGCATACAGGCTCTATCTCCCTCTTAAATATGCATATATTTAATACGTAGTACATGCTGCGATCTAGAATGTTCCGGGATGTCGTAGGAAAACCCCTTAATTAGCACTCAATCGCACATTGGAATGGCTTTTGCAGGATTTTCACTTGTCAAGCTTCATGCCTCAGAGCCACCATTCAGCAGACACTTCACCGCCATGATGGACAACCCAGACAGACACTACATGAATGTCACTTTGGTGGGATGGAGTGGGGTGGGGTGGGGTGGGGTGTCTGTCCGGAGTAGCAGTAGCCCATCCCACACTCTTGACAGGAATTTCTACGCACTGCACTCTGCGAACCCTTCTGCCAGTGCCACACTAGTGTTGCTGCTGTTGCTGCTGCTGCTGCTGCTCCTTGAATCTCCTCATTATGCTTGACACGCACCGACAATTATTCTGTATAAAAGACGTTGCGAAGCCAAGTCATTTTCAATTTGCATAAAAGCCTGGGGGCTACAGATACATACTGTACACACTGTACACACTGCTGTGGCAACCGCAACAGCAATGCAACCACAATGAGTCTTAAGATGCCACACCCCAAAAAATGCCAAGCCCAACCAGCAATGATTATTGTATAATCCATTTGATTGATATTCGAAAAAATATTAGATATATGCATGGCCAAAGGGCTTATTTCTGTTCTATGTATAATACATACATATGTATATGAAAAGGGGGAAAGCGAACACCCGAGCGAACAACTTGAAGTATTTATGTCAGGCCTCATCCCATCCCATTCCATGCCATCTCATCTGATCTGCGAAAGCGCCTGCATTTATAATTGCTGGCAGTAGTATTTATTTTATTATGTCCATAAATATAATGAGACTGGTTGAGAGTCCAGAGAGGGGGCACATCGGCAGTGGAGAGCGAGCGTCTTGAAGTGCATTTCTAAATGCTGTTCAGCGTCAACTTCTGTGTCAGCGATTGGAAAAGCGCGAGAAGCTGCAACAACGCGATGCAACATTGCCACAGCGCGGAGACACATTTCCATCAAATCAATCAAAAATGGTAAATACAAGTTTTTTTTTTGCTTCTGCATTTCTACAGTATTTTCTTTTATTGCAATGCTGGCAGCAGCAGCACCAGCAGCAGCAGCAATAGCAGAAGCAGCGACAAAACGTCAAAGACTTCAGCCTAAGTAGGTCCAACAAAAAGTATCTGCGCTGCCAGTAGATGCTGCAAGTAGATGCTGCCTGTAGCTGCTGCTGTATCTGCTGGATTGGAATGCACTTTCCGAGTGAAATGCCAGGCCAACATGGCAGCTCTTACTATTTGTGCTGCTGCTGCTAATGCTGCTGCTGCTGCTAATGCTGCTGCTGCTGTGGCAACTACTGTTGTTGCTGCTGGCTGCCACCGTTTGTTGTCATGCCATAGTTGACAATCATTTAGAATCACTTCTGGCAAAATGAAAGCATCTTTTGAAAGTTGCTGCTCTTGCCACTGCCACAGTCACAGCCACAGCCACTGCTGTTGCTGTTATTGTAATTAAAGCGAAATGCCATAAGACAAATGGGAAAAATGTAACTGCCAAGTGTTACAGCAACCTGGCTCTGAGCCAGAGAGGGACACAGCGACTCTCACCCAGTGACACGCATTCGCAGTCGCAGTCGCAGGCGAGAGATACATCTGCCAGCCGCCCACACGAATCGGTCTGCTAATTAAAAGCTGCCACAGCCAGGCATCTCTCCCACTCTCCCACTCTGCTACTTGTACTCGTTGCTTTCCTATCAAAAATACACGCCGCACACGCAGCTGAGGCCCCATCAAAAACTGCGCATAATATTCGAGCATATCACATAGTACGAGTGCGGCTGTTGCTGCTGCTACAAAGCGGGGACTGGCAGAGATACAGATACAATTCGCTGGCTGATAAGGGCTGGCAAAAGGTTATCAACTGTCAGCTATCATCGGAGTGGGCCGCATGTAGTTGTGCTCTGGCCCCCATAAAAGTGCCACTCTCCGCCACAGTGCCACACTGCCACAGACACAACCACAACCACAAATACAGCCACAGCTACAGCTACATATAGAGTGTATATTCTGGGTGTATATTTCACTTACCTCGCTGTTATTTGCCAGGTACATCATTTTCTCGTACTCCATTTCTGTGCGGTGTGCGTGTGGTTGGTTTTCCCTTCTGCCTGTCTGGTTAATAACAATTCTTCGGGCTCTGGACTCTGGCTGTCTTCCAGATGTCTCTCTGTGGCTCTAGCTGTTGCTGTAGCGCATGCAAAAATCAACCTCAACTGCGAAAGTCTCGGTCTGTCGTTCGGCCGTCTCGTTCTGGCTGTCGGCGCAAGCGGCACCCTCCGCTCTATCCGTCTCTGTTGTTCGGCTCTTTCACTTGTTGTCGATTATTTTTTGGATTTTTTAAAAATTTTAAACTAGATTCACGATGTGTTTGGGGCTCTTTTGGCTCTCGCTTTTGTGGATTTTCGTTGGTTTCACACTGTTTCTGTCTTTTGTGCTCATAATGAGCCAAAGATTTGTTTTAGTTTTTTGATTTAATTATGATTTTGATGTTTTACGAGTATTTCGGTTTTGATTTCAAGTCCAGGCTTTTTGTTTGTGGCACTCGTTGGACGGGACGGCACGGGACGGGTATTCACTGCATTTCGTTATTAAAATTTCCACTTGCAAACTTGTTGCTCTTTCTATCTTCGCACTGTAGCTGTCTCTGTCTACCTCTCTCTCTTTCTTTCGCTCTCTGTTTACATATATATATATATACAGTATGTATATCGATCAAATCCGTCCGCTCTGAACCGTTCGCCGAGGCTTTACATTCAATTCTGTTCGCACGATCGGCTGTCGTGCCTCGGCTTACCTCATGCGATAGATCCGAAAGCTTTTTGGAGCCACAGAAACAAAACTGGTTTCAAAGCTCTCGAAGTTTAAAAGCTGCTTGAAGCTGGAGAGCTTTATAAAAGTCCATCAAATTCAAGATGAAATTTATTATTTCACATAAAACGACAGAAACAGAAACGGCAACTGCAACGGAGACTGCCGCTGGCACTGGAACTGGCACTGATACTGCCACTGCCACTGCCGCTGCCACTGCAACTTTGATTGAATTGGAGGGCACAACCACGCCCACTATCTCTCTCTCTCCCTCCCTCTGTCTATCTGCCCTCATGAGCAGCATCCATTCATCCATCCGTATGTCTGTCTGTCTGTCTGGTCTGTCTGTCTGTCAGTGGATCTGTCAGCGCATCCACTGTTTGCGGGCTGGATTCGCCGCGGGGGCCTGCTGCCACACCAAAGAGTTGATAGAGCTGGCCAACCAGTCCCCCCGACAGATGTGTACACAGTGCAGATACTTTCCGCCATCAGTGGCCGTGTGTGCGTGTGCGTGGCTCTACGTCAACTGCATTATCATTTCCGCTTCCGTTTGCAGCAGACCCAAAGACGATGCCAAAGCCACAGCGACAGACGGCGGCGGTAGAAGCGAAATACAATTTCAGGACTCTGTTTGACATTTATATTTCATTGCACAACGACAATTCTGCAATTTTTTGACAACTCATAAAAAGAATGCTGTCCCTGCTCCGCCAGTCTGCCCCGCGGCAGTGGCGGACATTGACTCCCTGCATTCCACAACTTTCAATGCCAAGAAGCGTTTGGCATTAAATTTTTAGGGGAAACTGCAATGGAAATGGCCAACTTTTATGGCTCGGGGACTGTGCAGCTCAACAGTTGAAAGTGTGCAAAGATATCGCCTGGCTATCGTATGCCTGCCGGTATCCGGCCGGATGATTGCCACCTTAATGCCCCCTTCCGTTCCCACGACGGCCTCACGCCGCGCTGCCGCCAATCTGCAGTCCAGCAGGAGCCGCGAACAGGAAGCGCTGTCCTCTAAATTGAAAGGCATGTCAACAGCGAATGCCACTCAGGCAGGACTCCGAGGGGCAGCAGGTAGCAGGTAGTCCACCCGCCGATAGCCATCATTATGCCGGATATCGTAGACAGCGAGATAGAGTCGTTCCCCCTGCGAGCCCCAATCGCATTGTGTTGTGATCACAACAACTGACAGCACCGAGCGAGGCCACACACACACACACACACACCCACCTTGATGAACAGCTGGCTCCAAAGAGCGGTCCGTTTAATGGCCAGCTGCAATGCGCCGAGGGCCCGGCCGTGAATGTCCTGCTGGGACAGCCATTAAACCACGCGGACAATGGCAACGTGCCGAAGTGGCAGGACGCTCAAAGAGCGCGCCACGCACATCTGAGTCCGCCCCCGGGGCACCACACGCAGCCTCGATTAGATTGGCTGCATCCCAGAAGCAGCATGGGGGAAAATGCTTTACTTACTTCCCGGGGAAGGCATTCGGAATGCAAAAGGATTGATGCAGCAGAACGGCAGGAGGCAGAAGGCAGGACTGGGACAGGGACAGTGACAGAAGCCACTAAGCATCATTTAATCAGGCCTATGCATGATAAATCAGGAGCCCATCAGGGGACAGGTGAGCCCTCATTTAATGGAGTAGACAGGGAACTGCATTGTCCGAACATTCAAATTAAAATCTGCATTGTTCCCAGATAGAGAGAGACTTTTAGTTGACTCTCATTCGGGGAGGAGTAGAACAACGTGCTGCACATGGACTCCACTGCACTGCACTCCACTCCACTCCACTCCCATTGGGGCGTCACACAAATTGGACTTAAATCAAAGCAAGGATTAATGCGTTAGTAGCACAGCATTGACAGGGAGGTGGAGCTTGGTAGTCCCAGACATTCGAGTACAGAAATAGACACCCAGACACACAGCCACACACACAGACAGACACACAGACATACAGCCCAGTCGGTCGAACGCCCATTGAGTGCACGAGCTGGAGCAGGAAGTGAGGCAGATGGTCGGGCAGTAGGAGGAGGAGGATTGGGGTAAAGACATGAGGCGTGACAGCGCATGCTGCCGGATGGTCGGTCAATGAGACTCTTCCGGTGTAGGAGGGCCACAGCATTGATGTAAATGAATGCAACGTTGCGACGCTTAAGCCGGTTACAATGCCCAGTGCCGCAGTGCTCCGGAAACGCTGCATCCACAATGGCCAAGTCGGAATGGGGGCAACCCTTTCCCCTTTCCCAGCCCCCAAAAGACAGACGGACGGACGAGAGACAGGATCGCTGAGCAAACTGTTGCATGCCTGCTGGATATTCGAGTAATAGACGTCGCTCTGTTTGGACAATTCCCTCCAGAGTCCTTTGGCATATCGAATGGCTGCCATACGCCACACAGATCCAGAGAGTGGGCGAGACAGATCCTAAGTGGGAGGCACCAGCTCTCCATCTGCCACAACAGAGATCCAGTGAGAGGTGAGAGGTGGAGGGAGACTCGGCAGCGTCACCAAATCCCAGTTAGTGGGATGGCTTTGTCTGAATCGCCGCACGGAATGCGAATGGAATGTGCATCATTGCGGTGTCCGTTCGCATGGAAATCCGCTACGAGCACTCGTAATCCAATGCTTCGCCACAGGGCTCAGGGCACAGGGCACCGGGCAACGGGCTTCAGGTCTGCTCAATATGTGGCTATGTAAATAATTGCCACCGTCACCATGAAGCGGCACCGTTTGGCGATTTGGATTTGGATGTGGATGTGGCCCCAAAGGGTATTTTATGCCATTCCGTGATGCCCATCGTAATCAGGGTGCCTCTTATAGGTGAAAGCTGCCCCGTGCACTCAATGAGCCGACGCGTTGATTTCAAATAAATAAAAATGTTAATTTTAAAATTCTGCCGCGAACAGAGGGTTCCCCCCCAGCCCCACTGGAAATTACAGTTATTCGCTGTACGTGTTTAATTATTTTTAAATCACACGCAGCGCGGAGCTGAGGGTCGCACAGGTTTCAGGAGTGCAGGCAGGAGCAGGAGCAGGACAGGATGTGAAACGGAACAGAGCAGAGCAGAGCAGAACAGAGAACAATTTTCACAGTCAAATCACGTGCCGATTGTCAGCTATTCCTGGGCCCAGAACTGTCCGCTCGAAAGTGTTATTTCCGTAGCCAGGACTCTTAATTACACGGACTGTTTCATGTGGTTAAATTTGCGTGTGGCTTGTGCCCTGGGGACCAAATATAAATAATAATTATGGGCTCTTTGAGGAGCAGCAGCAGCAGCAGCAACAGAGAGACCTTCTGCACTTGACGCAACTTCAATGCATAATAAATAGAGCAAATAATAACTTTAAGGGCCTCACAAGACAAAGAACTTTCGTTTGTTTCATTTGCATAACTCTATGGACAAATAGGAAAGGAATGAGGACACCTCCCCCCAACCCCACCCCCATAAACACAATCAAAATGCCAAAGGTCAAGCCGCATAGAACGATGGAGAGGGGTGGTGGTGTGGCTCCCCACCAAGAGGTTGTTGATTTAACTCAAAATTTATATTTTCACAAACAAAAGTCAAGCTCCCCGTTCCCCACTACCCGGAACTAAGTGCATTTGACATTATGCAAATGCCGAATCCAGTGACCGTATCGCTGAATGTCCCTCAGCTTGTCCGTTCGTCCGTCCGTCCGGATGGCAGTTGATTAATTTGTTGCAAGTCTTTTGGATTTCTGTTTGAGTTTGAGATTGAGTTTGTGTTGCTGTTGTTGTTTTGTGATTGTGTGTTTCCTGCTCTGCCCACAAAATGGAAACCTTTTGTCAAATTATGATTTTATTGTACTTGTCATTTATCAATTAAAATGATGAACGAAACAGAGCATTCTATTTGACTTCACCCTCTTCCTGCGCCAGTCCTTCCATTTGTGGCTGGCACGCTCTTCCCACAGCAGCAGCAGCCTCATCATCATCATCATCATCGAATCATTTGTATCTCATTTCAGCTTCAATCGAATAATTAATTGCAAATTTGCGGCTCAGTGCAATCAGAATCCGTCTTGTGGCCAATGTTTCAACCAACATACTCGTTTACAGGTTGAGTGGCCACAGCAGCGGGGGTCGAGGCCTTCACATGAGCCTGCTCTTTTCGAGAGCTGCCTCCTCCTCTAGCCACAGAGGCAAGGCCAAGATGCCACTCAGTGTCTGTGTATCTATGTATTTCTGAGATACATTCATGTGTGTTCTTCCTTTCAGCTCGTATTTTATTTCAGTTTTTTTTTGCAGTTCTTTTTTGGGCCCTGACGTCAATGACAAGTCACTTGAACTCAAATCGTAATCCTGTAGAGCTCATTTGCCTAGAAAGCCGAATGCAGTGCTATTGAAATGCTGGCTAACAGGATAACAGGTGGTGGCCTACTACAGCCTTCCCATCATCGTCATCGTCAAGTCGTCATCAAGTCATCATTATTGGTAACGATAAACATAATGGCCATTTGTGTATAATGTTGCCAAGAATCAATTGAATTATGGTGCTGCTCGAGGGTCCTCCCAAGCGATAGACAGCGCCAGCACCAGCGTCCCCCCGACCATGGCAAGACAATCGAGCAGCAAATTGCGTAACCCGAAACGGAATGGAATGGCTGACTTGGCCTGGCCTGGCCTGGTCGCCACTCCGTACTCGAGTCCTCTTTTATCTATGGCCCATTGTCTTTCGCCCCCAAATGCAAACGGCATTCGAGCATATTGAGCATCTTCTTCGATAGAAAAAGAGACTGAGAGAGTGAGAGAGTGGGAGAGAGTGGGAGAGAGAGCACCTATTCTGTCTGTAGCTGTAGCTGCAGCTGTAAGCGCCTTAGCTTTGTTCGCTCGGTCTGTCCTGTCGCTCTTGTCTCATAACGTGCAGCCGTGTGCCGTGTGCCGTGTCTTGTGTCCTGTTTCCTTGCTATT